AGTCCTCTGCTGCCACCCTATGGTATAGCTTCAGAAACAATTTGACACTTTGTTACTTAATGACATGATAATGGTAAGACATGGCAATATTTTTTTAAAGACTGAGCACTAAATTTAACACTGTCAATGAAACAGTTTGTACTTAGAAATATAAAACAATTGCTTCACGAGTAGTGAAACACAAAATGTAAATACAGATAAAGGGATGAATATTTATAATATTGACAATAATATTTTTATATGTGCAACAGCAGGAACTGGAAGTGCACACCACATCAGCAAACAAACAAAATCATTGAAACTAGTGACCTTTATGATTTACTGATTGTGACAGGTGTGTTTCTGGTAACAGCTCTCTACTTGCGCTAGGAGCTTTAAGAGTGACGAAGGGTTATATGGGAAGAGCTTCTTTGTGTGCAGCCTCGTTACCACCTCTCTAAGCTGTGACAAACAATGGACTGCTCTGACTGATATTTCACCAGGAAGCTGCCCTGACAGAGATGCCATGTTTGCGGCTGGCTGCAACACTGGCTGTAATAATCCTTCCGGTCTTGGACTCAGTAAAGCTGTTGACTTATATTGTTTCCCATTCAAGGCACAGACAGATTCCACTGTATTCTCAGAATCAGACTCATCAGAAGTATCATACTCTACAAGGCGAAGCTCTGAAGCCACACCTAGCCTTCCAGCTGGTGGAATAACACAGGAACCAGATTCTGCTTTATCTGGCTCTCCTTTACATTTCAATGTTGACCTATCGGCGCCTAACTTCTTCTGCTGTGAAAGACAACAGTCTGACATAGTGATACGTCCACATGCTGCAGCGAAGCCCTGCCAATCATCTCGGAGGCATTTCAAGTACTGCACAAAGTACTCCAGAAAGCAGGTTTCAGCTGAGATCAGAAAGTCTAGGAGGACGCTATAGTCAAAGGACATGCTCTGAAGCAGAAGCACAAAGTGACAGTGAGGGTTAAAGCCAGATGCACAGGCCGTCTCCAGCACTGCAAATTCATCCATCCCAGAAATCCGTCTAAAAATGAGAGAAAAATCTAATCAGAACATATCACGTAAACACTAACAGCTTATTTGAATTTTTCTCTACTGGTAAAGTGAAAGACAGTGAAGTATCAGTAAACAGTGACAGAAACACACACATATATATTTTAAATCTGAATACTTTTACATGTGTAGAAGTTTTAAGTATCTTTAAAGATGGTAAAATAACATCAGGACCTCTTTACCATTACAGTTTTTATATTATACCTAAATCTGTTTTACCTGTAATGAAGAAATATGCAGAGCAGAGCTTTAGCTGCCTCCATCATGTCATCGTCCTGTTCTCCAAACAGCATGCTGATCCAGCAGCAGAGATGAGTGAGCTCTCTCTGTTTGAAGCTGTACTGCCTCAGGAAGCCCCACAGACTCTGCAGGTGTGCATGAACCTCTGTTGCAGTCTTCACTTCTGTGTTAAGAAGATAAT